CCCAGCACAGCCAGTGCGTACTGACTCCCTCCGGAGGCCCAGGGAGCTCTGGGGGAGCTCTCTGAGGCTGCCGCCAAACCCCCAGATCCTCAGTGCTTGGGGGATGGGTCCGAGGAGGAGGACACACTTCCAGGGCACACGAGGCCCGCGCCCTCACATGCTCGCCCCGTTTGTCCCAGGCCAGCCACAGCTGCTTTCCGAAAACCAGCGACAGCGGCCGTGGCGGCGTTGCCTGCAGCCACTGTGCTGAGCCTGGATGTGGGAGGCCCGGCCCAGGCGGCCTGTAAAGTGCTCTGGCCGGTCCGCGCTACTCTTCCACTCTCCAGTCATTCCCTGTTCCGCAGCTGCGAGCATTTGTATAAGAGATGGCTCCCACGCCCTGACCAGTTTGGCTCAGTGGATAGAGCGTCGGCCTGTGGACTCAAGGGTCCCGGGTTCGATTCCAGTCAAGGGCATGTACCTCAGTTGCAGGCTCATCCCCAGTGGGAAATGTGCAGGAGGCAGCTGATCGATGTTTCTCTCTCATCGATGTTTCTAACTCTCTATCCCTCTCCCCTCCTCTCTGTGAAAAATCAATAAAATATATTAAAAAAGAGAGAGAGAGATGGCTCCCAGCTTCTCCTTCAAAATGATCCAATCTGTCATGCACGGTCTCTGGACACATGCTCTCCACTCCCCAGCCCCCCAGCCTGCTCCTGCCACCTGTCAGGCCTCAGAGGGCCCGCATTCATGCCTGGCAACAGAGCGGCTAAATCACTTGCCCTGTCACTGATAACCACGGGACTCGGAGCTAGACTAGGAGCCTGGCCTCAGGCCTCCACGTTTTTGGGGGGACAGGGGAGGGTGTTCTTTATCCCTGGGAACCATTCCCTATATGGTTGGAATTATTTCTCCTTTTTTTTCTTGGTGGGGAAACTCGGGACCTCTGACTCAGAGGTGTGGGACCTGCCCAGGCCACCCCGTGTAGGAGGCAAAATCAGGAGCCCAGCCCAGCCGAGCCTGGCTCTGAGGTCCGTGCTGTCCAGGGCTGGAGCAGGAGGGCGGGGTTGAGTGAGGTCAGTGACCTCAAACACAGTCACAGAGCCAGCGGAAGAGTGGGAGCACCGAGGTGTCCCCCAACTCCTCCTCGGGAAATCAGATACGCAGCACCGTGGAACACCAGCTGTGCCTGGCACATTTAGGAGCCTTCACCCCGCCCTGAAGTCAGCCCTGTTAACACCCCTTTCATAGGCAAAGAAGCTGAGGGTAGGAAGGGAAAGGAATGCCTTGAAGTTGCAGTTAGTGACTGTGAGTCAAACCCAGGAGGCAGCGTGGCCCCCAAAGCCAGGGAATCCAATGCGATTCCAGGAACAGGAAGAGGAGGCGGGGTTGGGGGGATGGAGCACTAGTGCCCCCAGGGGGAGAAGTTAGGCAACTACATGTCCCTCCAGGTCCCCACTCCCAGCGCCAGGCCTCCTCTCTGGGGCCGCCCGCTGTGTTTCCTACACCTGCTGTGTCGCCGCTGGAGGTCGCACCTCTCGGGCCTCAGCCCGCGCCTCTCCAGGGCCTGTCCCGAGCCCCAGGCAGGGCCTGCGATGAGCGGATTGGAAGGTACTCCCAGAACCGGGGCTGCTGGGGCGGCGAAGGCAGCTGGGTCCTGGCCCCAGTCCCAGCCTCCTTGTGCCAGCCCTGCCACCCTGACCAGCTGACTCCTCTGTCTGTTCGTCTGTAAAACGGGGTTAAATGGCGGCTTTGCAGACTAAGAGGCAAATGCGTGTAAAGCTGGAGCCTGGCCGGGCACAGGGATGCCCTCCCTCCTCCGTCCTGTACTTACTCCTTGGGCTCCGGCAAGACCAGCCCCCGCAGCACGATGACCTGTCCCGGCCAGAGACCCCGGGGAAGGGGGCGTGAGCAGGGCACCTCCTGAAGGAACACGGGAGGTGACTGAGGGGACTCACAGGGGGCTCAGGGAAGGCAGCCCCACCAGGAGCACTTTGGGGGGCATCCTCAGGGGCGGGGGGCCCTGGAGCAGGTAAGTCTCTGCCTCGAGGCCTGCAGCTGGGGGGACTCAGCTCTTCCTGTTATCAGACACCCTCTGCAGGCCCGGCCTCTCCCTGCCTTTCCAGGCTGAGCTCGCTGCCACTGTGCTGCGGGCACCACGGATGCCCCCCATCCCGCACCCTGAACTGTAACGGCCCGCTCCTTGGGCAGCGTCCCACCAGCCTGTGAGCTGGGGGCCTGGGGCTGGCTTGTCCCTCTGTCCTAGAGCCCGGCCCCGGACAGGATCCAGTAACCGTAACCGTGAGCAGAATAGAGTCAAGGTCAAGGGGAGCCAGAGCAGCCTGCCGCTGCGGGG